AGGAATTCTTTGAGTTAAACTGGGAATAAGTTCAATTTTCCTAAGTCAAGTCAGTAATTCGAGTTCAGGGCAACAAATTTTCATATTAAAGGGTTGTTAAGATTTTCAAGTTTTTATTAAGTAACGGTTTTTCAGTGTATAAGAGCCAAAAGTCCGGGTTACCGTGGAGGCTTGAGATAAGAGCCACTAAGCCGGGTATACCATGGAGGCTTGAAGCTGGAACCGGAGCAGCACAGTTCGAGAAGTAACAACCTTTAGAGTCAGCTAAGTCGGGTATCTTACCAGTAAGATACTCTGAAATTAGTTGCCAAAGTTTAAGATCAGTTATTTATTCAGTACTTGCGGGACCAGTTGATACTGGAGCAGCCCTATATAGTACTTGGTCATGAGCCAATGTTCACGATTTACAGTTTATGTTCATGATGTAAGGTCGGCGTATAATAGTTGTTCAGCCGGGTAAAATGTGGCGGTCTGATATACAGACTATTAGTCCAGATTTACCTGGAAACTTGAAGTCGTACCTTATCAAGTCAAGTAAGTCAGTAAATATTACGTTCTCAACTCCGAAGCAACTATTGTAGTTGTCTCGGGATAGCTTTCAGCGTTCAAGAAAAGATGATTCAGTCATGTAAGAATCAAGTCATGGTTAGTCAGTCATGAGAATATTCAGGTCAGTCATGTCAAGAACGAAGATGGTCTGTCTAATAAGACAAGACTTATCAGTCATTTTCAGTATGTTCAGAGCCTCGATTCTCAAATACAGATGATTTGAGAATTCGTAGGAAGGATCAGTTTATGATAAACTTTTCGTGAGGTTAAGTTTGACCTCAGGGAAGGTAAACAGTTGCAGGTACAACATGTCGATTTTAGACACGGCGAAGAAGACCAATCAACAGCAGCAGATCATGCCATGGTGACAACCAAGCTTTCCATTTAAGTATATATGACGCCAGAAGAGCAGGATGCCATACCATGTTTGGTCAGTACACTGGGAAATTACAGAGAGTTAGCACTTTAGTACATTGAGGATTACTAGCCAAGATAC